ATTAGGGTTTAAGTGTAAATCTTAATTGTTTCAAAGTAGATCACCCTCAAATTGCAAATGTTGGCTTTCTGCGGTAGAAGTTAAATACTTGACCGGGCAGTGGGAAGTGCCTGTATCCACTCAGTGCCTTCCAAACAGAGTCTGTCCAGCTCAGAATGGAAACACATCAGTGGGGGTTTGCTCCATCGCTGTCCTTATTCTGGTCTTTGGGCCAGGGGAGAGCTGTGTTTTTCAGGTGATTCAAACCGATTCTGTACCAGCTTCAGAGTCAGAGATTATCAAGATGACGATGAGAAAGGGTTATTTTTGTTTGGAAGGAGAAAAGTGAAAAACATCTGGGCATACAGTCTTCAGATGTCAGCCAGAGATCTGGGAAGACCAGTGTGAACTGTTTTGTTGGTTGATAGATTTCATGAAGTTATTGTTTCAGGGAAAAATATGATGGTTTTGCTTTTTTGTGTTTCCGAGGGTTTTCCCCCCAAACAGTCTCTTCTTACTGCACATGTGAGATCATCTTTGTGTCTAGAAGTTTCAAAGCTGCAAATCTTCATGTCTAAACAACTGTGTCAGTCAAGGGGGGAGGCAATTACTGTGCTGCAACTTATGTGGTGACTGGCAGATACCTCTCCCTGAAAACAAAGGCTTGAGACATCCACGCCTGATCCTGCAGAAAACTGAAGTGCACTTAAAAATTTAAAGGTTAGGCTGTAAGTGAGAAAGGTGCTTGGTGCATCAGACAGGATGTTTTTCTCAGCTTGTACTTGTACCCAGAAGGCATCAGGCGGCCAATGACAAAAAAATTGAAGAGTTTCTACTCAGCCTGACAGGCTTGTGCTGATGTAGACATCTGTTAAGGCTGTGAACAATTTTTTATTTGTACGTTTGAAAAGTGTAATAATGAAACATCTAAATTTCCTTGGAAAGTGTAAGAAGGGAGATTATGGGGAGGAGAGGGGTAAAACCTTGCAAATGCATCTTGCACGGCACGGATTTGATTGGAACCAGAAGCTGGGCTGGGGTGGCATTGCTTCTGTTTATGGCTCTGCTATAGTTCCCCAACGTAGCCGTGATGAACTGACTTAGTTTCTGGCTAATTTTACTTCCTTGCAAAATATTGGGGAGAGCATTTCTGGGGCTGACGGTATCATCTCTCATGGTTATGCTGGGTGACGCTCCGGCGCAGGAGTAGGCACGGGCGCCGAGAGAAGAGCTCAGAGCTGCGGTTTCACGGCACGTTGCGCCGTCATATCTGAAATAACCGAGCTGGCGCATGTGTCGCGCCGTGCAGCCCCTTCGTAGGTTGACTCATGGTCTTCGCATCTGTAAGAAGCAGCGAGTAGCTGGCACGATGAGGAGTGTTTATTTGCTCCTCTAAATGTATGGTAATGGGTAGAGATTTCTCATTGCCAAAGCCAAAGGCAGGCTGGGGCCCGTCAAGGAGGGGCGGGATGTGGCTCCCAGCCTGCAAACGTGCCTGCCCCAGGCTGCCTCTGCCACGGGACTTGCCATCAGAAGGTGATTTCACCTGCCTTGAAGTATAAATTGCCTCCTGGAGGTGCCTTGATGTCTCTCCGTTGATGGAGCTCAGTGCAGTCACTCTCATACCTTAAGTACCTCCGGTGTTCAGACTGATTCCAGGTGAATGCCAACCAAAATGCCAATCTCAGTGCTGAGCAGCAATCAGTACTAATAAACCTTTTGCTCACCATATCCCTTATTCATGGCAGGGCAGTGGGGTTAAATCAGGCAGGAGAGGGTGAGCGCTCGCGGTGGGATGTGTCCTCCACCTGCCCATGATTAACTGGTAACCCCAGAGCCCCATTTCCCCTGTGGCCGCCGGCGCATCCATGCAGACCAGGGGACGGTCCCTTCCCCAAACGGCTCCTCACTTAGCTGGCTGGTGCTGGAGGTGGTCGGCAGTGGGTGGCGGTGATATGCTCTGCCTGTACGTGGACTTTCCTGCCTCCTCCCATGGCTTGCCCAGCTCTAAGCAAGTGAAATCTGCCTGGCTTGCAAAGCTTCTGGGGTGAGGGGAGATCCCCGAGGTGCATTGGAGTAGTCTGTAGGGAGATGCTGCTTAAACGGTGCGTAAGCTTGCTTTCAGCTTTTTTTCCTCCTTTACGCCCTCCCATGCAGACCTGTTTCTTCCACACGTCATCTAAAACCCTGTGCTGCTCAGGACACAGATTTTGCAGTCTTCGCATGCTTCCCCCTCTGCCAGAGGGAGATTTCCAGCAATGCCAATAATAATAATACAATAACAGCTTTCCCTCCTGCATCTGAGGGAATACTCTCCCGCGAGTGCAGTGGGAACAGCATTGGGTCCTATGGCTGTGTGTGGGAAAGAAGAAAGCGCAGTGGCAGAGTAAATAACTGAAGCTGTGAAGGAGAAAAGTCCATCTGTTTGCAGAGGACCAGGAAAAGGCCACACATCTGCAAGGTCCCCCCAGTTCATCAGGCATCTGCTCTCTGCTTCCCAGTCTAAAAAACTTCCCATTTGTGGGGAGAGAGGAGCCAGCAGCTTATCTGACACAGAGGACAGAGTCAGCAGAGCTGGGCTGGGATGCGGTAAAGCCAGCTGTCTCCTACTGCAAAAGAGAACGTTTTCTTCCAAACGCTAGAAAAGGGCTCTTCTCTGTCTCTGTCTTTTGCTCCTTTTCTGAAAAATCTTGCCAATGTTTTTTTCTTTCGGGAGGAACGGCTCTTCCAAAAGGGCAAAATGGTATTTGTTTTGTGTTTGTTCTAGCAGTCCTTGTTTTCCTCTTCTGTTATAGCAATTATTATTTTCCCCCTTCTCTTTGTGCACAAACCCTGTCCCTTTCCCTCTCTGATCCCCTTCAACACATTCTCTACCTCAATTTTGCTTAGGTGCTTTGAAGGGTAGTAATAAAGCAAGAGTGTCTGACTAATGCTCTGTGCAGGGAGATGAGTCTTTGGCATCGGAGCTGGGACGAGCTGGAGAAACATCATCTGAAGTATATTCTTTGGGAAGTACGTGTCTGCTGGAGTCGAATTTGTTTGCAGAATCACATTGGTTGGTTGGAGGGTCATTTTCAGAGCAAAGGAGAAAAGTTTACTTAGCACTCAAACATCCCAGCATTTTTTAGAACTAAACACCAAGATATTAATTTCAAAATATTACTTCTTTCCTTTTTACTCTGTATTGTATTTCATATGATTTGAAATACAAGATTGGATTAATTATAAGGTGAAAAGGAGGATACTGCAGATGTTATTGGACATTTTTTTTTTTTTTAAATCAATCTTGGACTCTACAATATCATGAGCCAGTAGGTTTCACAGGATTTAATGTATTAGAGCAACATGTTTGTCTTAAATTAGTTTTCAGTGTGTAGTTTTTGAACTGTCTTCATGCATCTGCATTTAGGATGATACTTCCTTAGCGATTCACAGGAGGTGGGTTTGAGTCCTATCCATGCTCACTTTGGGGAAAATGGGAAGAAATTACTTTCCTGGGAAATAAGATCTGTAAAAGTCCTAGGGAGAGTTTGTGCCTTTCAGAGAGTGATTTGAAGTCAGACAGGAAAGCTTTCCAGGGCTGCAGACCCACCTGCCTGCCATGGCAAAGAGCACGAAGGTGCTGTGCCGGCAGTGCGGCCCAGTGCCCGTGCCTGGGGCGGGCTGAGCCCGGGGCTTTGAACCTGGGCGTGGGTGGTCCAGAGGACTGGGGGTCGCTGGGGTTTGGCTCAGCACCTCTCTGAGCAGCTTGGAGCCTGCTGCTTGTTATCTGGGGATGGCACTGTGGGCCTTGGGTGGGAGGCGGAGAGGCACTGCATGGAGACATGGAGGGTGACGTAGGGAGCCCATGTTTCCTCCCCACATGGTTAAAACCCTCCACAAGCAACAGTTCCTATATATGTGAAATATCACACTTCTATTCATCTTGAACTTCCATCCCAGGTGCTGCACGTGGGAGAGCCAACAGCAAACAGACCTACTTGCAGCATCAAGCTTTATGAGAAGAAATAAAAATATACCAAAGTGGACCAAATTACAGGCAGCTGTCACCCCAGGAGCCAAATCCAGCACTAATTGGCAAATGCCCCTTTTTCCATCCTTAGGAGGCACTTTCAGAGCCTGATGTCCTGCTGCCTGCAGCCTGTGCTGTTCTGTCCTTGTTTTCTCCTTTGTGGCCCCACCTCCCATGAAGTTCTCAAGGAGAGATTTCCCATCTTTGCACTAAGCTGGATGGCTTCACAGCCACTATGCTGCTTTGTCTTCACATCAGCACTTTTGGAAGTTTAAGATGAGCAAATTAAAGTAGAGATATTTTGTACATCAGCCCTGCGTAAAAAGCCACCTCTGAGTTAAAAGAGGCGGATGCTTCTGAGCTTGCAACTGGCCCATCATGGGGCTGTTGTCACTGAGAAGAGCCTGTGATCTTCCCAGCAGTTCTTTACATGAAACTATGAGGTCCCTATAGGAAGAGGGAGATGCAAAGAGCATGGCTGCCTGCCAGCAGCAGAGATGCAGGAGATGGGCTGGTCTAGATTTTGGGCTCCAGTTACAGCCCTCCATGTTTCCTCTGCAACAGGGAATCCCTGCTTTTAGACTGCATCTGTTGCTGACCTTATAGTGATCAAGAAGAGCTGGCATGATTTAGCGCATGAGGGGGGTGAACTGAATGGGATTCATTGCACGGCTGGACGTGGGGCATTCATTATTGCAAGTTTTGTAGTTGCCTGTGGCAGGTTTGAGACGCAAGCTTCACTCTGTGGAGCTGGTGGTTGGTGCCTTCAGGCTCTGTGGCAAGTCACCTTCTGCTGTGGGGTCTGAGCACCTCTAAGCAATCTGCCAGTGTTACTGAGCTGTCGTAGCCATCTCCTGAAGTAGCGAGGGGTGCAGCTGAGCATGTAATGGTTAAACAAATGTGCCACAAAACCCATGGCAGGGTGACTATTGCAGGGTTCATTCTGATCATCCATGTCATGATGTGGGGAAATGCTGGTGAGTCTAAGTCCTCCCATTCTCTTTCCTAGGGGACTTCCTTCCTCCTCCTCCACCTCCTGTGGATGACCTCGGGAACATCACTTCTTCACAGGGTGCCTTTCCCCCTCCACCCCCTCTGGATGATGTTACTTTCAACGTGCAGGTAAGAAGACAAGAATTTTATTGTTCATGCAGAAGCGATCCAAAAATTGTGGAAATGAATGGATGGTAATAAAATGAGGTGGCAAAGTGCTGTGGTTAGAAATCATGTGTCAGGCACAACCAAGTCAGCTTTAGCAAGCTGTGTTTCCCAAGAAGGGAATATTTCCATTCAAAACTTGCTGGGCTATTAAAGGATTTTTCCCATCCAGCTTGAATTAGAAGACTAATTGCTTTATGTCCTTGTGTTGGCAAGTGAAACCTTCCCAGAATGAATTGTTTTCTGGAAGGGCCATCTCCTTCCATGGACTGTGGAGAGACTTTAGGGCAGTAATCTGATCTTAAAAGTGCTTTGTTTAGCTGCCTAAAATTAAGTGAAGCAAATACGCCCTGGCCCAGGCTCCAGTGATGTCACTGAGACCCTTTTCACCCCCTTTTTGCTGGCTTGGGTTTTCTGGATTTGCCATCTGGATGAAAGCACAATTTCTAAGATGCATCAGGTGATGATGGCATGTCATGCCTGGATAGGGACGTACCTTGAACAGCTTTGAAAGGTACGGACACCTTTGAAAGGTCCGAACACCTTTGCGCAGACACCGCTGGCTTGCCCGGAGTGCTGGGTACTGCTGCGTTAGCTCAGGTGCGTTCAGAAGGAGGTATTCAGGCTGCAGGGACAAGCTGTCAAAGTTATCAAGGAGCGAGGATCTGATTTTGTCAGTGGAGACCAGAAGAGCCTGCCTTGTTAGCTGAGCAAAAGGAAGGCTGAGAAGGGGATGTGGTTGCAGATTTGAAATACATTTGGGGAATAAGCACCAGAGAAGAACAACTGTTCCAGCTCTGGGTGAGTGTGGGTGCAGGAGCCTGAGAGGCTGAGCTTGCCAGAAGTACCTTCGTGCTGGTGTTTAGAAAGTTTCTAAGCACCAAGGCTGCAAATGTCTGGAAGAGCCTTCTGGGAGGAGCAGTGAGAGCAAAGTGAGCGTGATCTAGGTTTGAAGCTGATGAGAGCTGTGTAACTGCATATCCACAGCCATGGGGCTGCCCTTGATGACCCTGGAAGGTTGCGGCAGTCCTGTTTCCCTCGATGGATTTGAACCTGGAAATAGGCCAGTGGACAGACATTGAACAGGATTCAAGAGACCTGACTGAGTTCCTGACCCCACCACAAGCTCTAGAGTCAATTCATCTACTTTGTGCCTCTGTAAAAAGAAAAATTTCCTTCCCTCCTGGGCTTCCTGTGATCTCTTGCCTGTGGTGAGATGTTCAGATGCTATCACAAAGTCTCAGCATGTTCCTGCAGCGAGTTCAGCATTATAAGCAGCCTTCGAGAGGGAAGGGGTTAATGAGTGTTGTGTTCTCCCTTGCCAGGAAAGGCTGCAGCAGTCAGGGACATTAGCCAAGCAGAGCATGGCTTTTCCCGGCCTTGGGGGGAATGAAGTAATTCCCCAGCAAGTGTTCTGTCTCTTATCTCTCCGAGAAGAGTGGACCCCGTGGGAGCAGGGGAGCTTCCAGACCGCCCTGGGAAGCAGCGAAGCAGCAGGCTCCCGGCGAGGGCAGGGTGCTGCCTGCTCCCTGTGAGGGCAGGGTGCTGCCTGCACGGCTGCCTGGGCAGCAGGAAGGGGTCGCAGTGCCTCTCTGGGATCAGGCTTTCCCCTTGCTGTGTCACCCAAGCAGGGCACCTTGCTGTGTCGACTGGAAGGGGCTTGTGTCTTCAGCTCCTCACGCCTCCCTCCTGTGATGGGTCCAAAGATGTGCCTGAGCCACCCAGGGCTGTCACTGGGATGTGCCCCTTGGTAGAACCACCCGATGGGACCGCCCTTCCCCGCTGAGCTCATGAAGTTGCTATTTGTCACACCCTTTCTCTCTGGCTTTGGAAGCTGGGGCTGGAGCCGCGCTCATAGTGTTGGGTTTTGGCAGGAGCTTGGTTAGAGCAAGGTTCATTTGCGTGGCACCCCGGTCAGAGGAAGGCGAGCCTACCAGTCGTACCACAGCACTCCTGCTTGTCACCACCTCCAGAGGTACTCTGTGCAGAAAACTCAGGTCCCTGCTTATTCTGTGCTCTCTTGTCACCTTTTTCCCCTTTCTGTTCCCTTCCATCCTCTGAAGGAGATCAGGAGCAGACAAAAGCCAGGGCTAGGTCAGAAGCCAGTGGGATCTCGTGTTGCAGGCTCAGCTCCTTATCTTGCAGGAGCAGCAAAAGCCGTGCTGAAGCAAGACGTAAGGTGCGAGAGGTGAGGGAAAAGGGCGGGTGGCATTGGAGAAAGCTGCTCGCTGCCCTTGTGCACTGAGCACAATCATTTTTGCAACACCAGCTGGAGGTTCCTGTGCTGAAGGAGCAGAACGCGAAGTAGCTGTGGTCCTTCTGCTGTGAATCCTTTCTCAGCCTTCAGGACATGGTTGCCTGAAGGCAGGGATCTCATGAGTACATGTTGGATTGGACTCCAACAAACTAAAGCCAAGCCTGATTCTGCTCTCCAATGCCAGGCCACTTCATTTCCATGCCTCAGTTTCCCCGTTGCTAAACATAAGCGCTGGAGCAGATGACCCCATTGCTGAGCACGGACCAGGTCTTAGGCTGCTGCCTGGGGCGGTTCGGCCCCTGTGGACCCAGGGCACACCCTCCACGTTTATTCCAGAGTTTGAAATTTATCTGCTCCAGCAAATCAGCCCCTTCACAACCAAAATGTCTCTCTGGCTGGCAGAGTGCTGACGACAGCTTATGAAATATGTGTGCTGTGGCTCCAGGTAAAGCTTTTTAAACTAGGTATTAAGTTGATGAGGGCAGCAGAATATATATGTTTAGCTTATTACCATTTCGTGTGTTACCGTTAGCAGATGGCTAAAAGCTGCACAGATTATTACAGTTTAAGTTGTAGCTTAAGAGCAGCAGTTAAAATAATAATGCCCAGTTTTCATAGGCCTGTTTATCTCTGGATCTCTATTTGGACAGTGGAACTGGCCACTTAGGATCAGATCCAAAAAGGTACTTTAGTATCTGACTTCTCTTGAGGTTCTTATGCTCTGATGGAAATCAGAGGAGGACTGGGTAGAGAAATACCTTTGCAATGAATCTGGCATTTTCTTGTAATTTCTGTTTTCCCATCTAGGTCTGTCATGTTCAGATTCACGGCAGGGCTGGGGAGGAAAGGGGAAGGAAATTTAAACTCTTTTCTTATTAACTGTAATGCTTTAAGAAAGAAAAAGAAAGGGAAATGTTTATTTTAAAAAAGAGTGCGTTGGGGCATGGGGACAGTTTTGTTGGGAAGTTCCCTGTCGGCTGAAGTCAGCCGGTGAGGGCGAGGGCTTGTTCCCAGAATGGTGGTGAGGGTGCGGCGATGGCGTGTTTGACAAATAAGGACATGAGCAAAGAGCCTTTTGCCACGTTGGCTTGGGCTCAGTTTAAAAGGGGAAAAAAAAAAAATCCTGGATGGGAAGAAAAATGAAATCACTGTTTGTCAAAGGGAAATAGATAGATCTGGGAGGGAGGGAGGCAGGTTTTTTGTTTTTTTTTTTTTTTGCCTTCTAGTTTCAAAACGGGCATTCTGCCCAGGCCAAGGAAAGCAAAAGTGAAAAACTCTAATAAACAACCTCTCGAGTGCCCGGTTTACTCACAGAGAGGGACCCTCACTCAGGGCGCTGACAATTCCTTCCTTCCTTGCCAGGCAGGGCTGCTCAGGGGTGAGGACTGTGCAGCGCAGTGAAGAAGCCCGTCCTGTCCCTGGGGAGGCTGGCTCTGGAGCCCTGTGTGCTACGGGGGCATCTTGATAAGCTGTGTCATAGGGGCTTTGCTGGCTTTCAAACGACCAGTTCTCCTTAAAGGAGAGGCTCGGAGCCCAGCATTCCTTGTCGGGGCAGGGACCTGGCTGGCTTGGAGCAGATGCAACCCTCAGCTGTGGACCTGCCAAGGGCCACCTTGGAAAAACATGCATCACTGCTAATTCCTCACAGGTGCTGCGCCTGCAGCGTGGCTCTGACTTTCATTTGGGAGCCTATAGATGCTACCACAGCGTGGAAAGGATCGGGTTGTATTCAGCCAGGAGATCGCCTCTTTCCCAACAACCCCTGCTGTTATCACTGTGGATTTTATTGACAGGCCACAAAACACTTTGCAAAAGCAATACCAGTCTCTTCCTGATAAGGAAGCTGAAACAGGGAAAGTTCTTTGCCTAGGTCACCGGGCTGACCAGTCGCAGGCTAAAAACAGGGCCCAGATCTCCTGCATCCCAGAGCAATTCTGTCTGCTACACTGCAACACCTCATTACTGTAAAAACTGCAAATCAATGAGTAAATACCATCAGTGGCTGAGACCAGAAAGAATTTGGTATATACCAAAAAGGATGCGCAGAAACGGTTGAGGGCGAGGTTTAGAGTGAAGAAGCAATCAGACTTCGAACAGTTGCATGAAGGGCAGATTTAGGTTTAGATATTAGGAAGAAATTCTTTACTGTGAGGTTGGTGAGGCACTGGAACAGGTTGCCCAGAGAAGTTGTGGATGCCCCCTCCCTGGAAGTGTTGAAGGACAGGTTGGATGAAGCTTTGAGCAACCTGGTCTGGTGGAAGGTGTCCCTGCCCATGGTGGAGTGGGTTGGAACTCAATGATCTTTAAGGTCCTTTCCAACCCAAACCATTCTGTGGTAAAATAGTTTAATATACCCCTGCATGGAGGGGCTGTAGTGCTGCGCTATATGTGGGCAGGAGCTGTTCTAATCTTCAGACCTACTGGACTCACGGACCAGGTTGTTTCGATACGCAGGAAATCAGCCGAAGGGCTCAAATTCCTATTGACAAGGAATTTGGGGAGGCGAAACGCGGTCTGAAGGCATGTGTGCCTTCCCCTACGAGGCTGTTCTGAGAGACCTGTCTCGCTCCTCCCTAGTGCTCACACCCGGGAGAAGGTGGGAATGTGTTGATAGATGTGAGCGGCGAGAGCCTCATCCTTGTTAGGGAGGAGGTTGCCAGGCATTTTGCTGTCTGACTCCCTCCCGGCGAGCGGTGGCGGTGGTGCC